TATAATAATTTTAAAATAATTAGTATTATAATAATTTTTTGGTAATTATTTTTAAAGTATTTAATTAAAATAAAAATGTAATGAAAAACAGTGTCTGATTGAACATTAACGAATAAATTGCATAAAGGATTTTTCGCGCTTTAATGTGCATTACGCTTCAATGGATATTGGATTGCGATCTTGACCGAAACTTGAAGTGAACTCTGCCAGGAAAGTTTGACCTCTCGGCTAAACCGAATCTCATAGATGCGCTCTGGGTCACGGTCTGAAACATGATTCTTTCGCGAGTATCTGTACGGCCAGATATTCTCTACGCCATGCGTGTTCTAAATCCGTATCGTGTAAATTAGACGCTTTAAATAAGAGCAATAGAATTTTGTCGCGGCTTCTTCACGCGTTTCGTGCATCAAGAATTTCAAAAGTTACTTTGATATTGACATTATGATTTTTATAATAACAGAAATATATAACTGTTTCTCTGATCTTTTTATAAATAAACAAGATATTCTGTTTTTAAAAGCCATCTAAATATAATGAATTTCAATCGAGATTAAGCAGATACACATCGATCAGATCGAAAACATTACCTGCTTTTTATTCTTGAATTACGATCGAAATGCGATTCTTGCGAAAGTCTTTTTTTGGAAACAATGCGCCAAAGTTCGCGGCACGAGTTGCACCATTTGCGCGTGCAATATCGAGTCGCGCGAATCGAATTTGTTTCCACCACCGACCGACTTTCTTCGGATCGTCCGTTCGTCAAGGGGTTGATTGGCTACTGGGCCAAAGTTTAAATTGCACCCTCGCACCGAAAGTCTCACGAGGGCTGGAGCGAGGCCCCGGTCATCACGCAGGCGCGAATTTCAGCCAGGTGTCATGATGCCTCCTTGATGGAAAATTAGGATGTGCTTTCGCGCGCGAATTTCAGGAGCCGCGTCGCATTTTCAGATCCTCGGAAAAAGCCCGCGGCGAAAAATTTAATTGCCTCTCGATTTGTGGCGCCTCGTCCATCATCTCTCTCCTTTACACGTTGAAACGCGAAGCGCCGATTTAAAATTGATTAAAGCGGACGGATCATTTGGCAACGACACAAAAGCGCTATTCTAACAGTGAACGAGACTCAAATTCGGTGTAATTTTAACGAGTTTAATTCTAGTTCGGCGAAAAAATAAATCTCATGTCAATTCGCGCGCTTTTCCACGAATAAACGTAAGGGTTATTTTCGTATGTTTACACCATCGAAAATTGAACTTATCGCAGTTATACCTGTTTCACGGATGATGTCATAAAGCTCTATTTTTCTTCATCCAGCTCTACGTTACAATATACAAAATTTTTATCCCCCTTGCTTTTATGTATATAAATTTTGTTTATATATTTGCAATAATTTTATTCGTTTAATCGTTTTTTATTATCTGTCAAATCGAAATCCCTCATCTTGATTAAGACGATTAATGAAATGTCAGCTAAAAGTTTAGCGGCGGGTATTCGTTTGTATGTCGCAGAACTTATACAATGTCTGATCGAAAAATCGCATGTAGCAAGACGAAATTAAATTTCTCACCTAGTCGATTTTTCATTCTATTTTTACGTCGCGACACGCGCGTTCGACAAGTGCACGTGCTCGCGGTTTGACGTATTTTCTAAGATCAATTAGAAAATTTGTCGAAACTAAAAATACAGTGGCAAGACCACTGGCTAAATCCTCTCTCGTACTCGACATTGGTTTAAGTGTTTCTTCAAGGTTGCACGACTCGTCAAGGTTACGCGACTCGACAGGTTGATAAAAAGTACCTTCGCCGTCTCGACCTTATGTCTCGACAGAAGCTCGAACGAGAAACTTGTCCACGATACGAGAACACAATTTTTCTTTCGCTTTCCTGAAATATTGTAAACGTTCACGTATCACGGACTTGATTATTGCGTACCAGCGATATTCCGTGTTATCATACAGTGTTGTCATACTGTGTTATCATATTGTGCTATGATTACAGACGCGACAGCTGAGCAAATCCAGCGAAAATCGATAACTTTGATACTATTAACTTTGATACGATATTTTTTTGCCGTCTTTTCATACGGAAAACTCGTTGCTACAGTAAAATAACACTGTCTTGGATATTTTTATTAATCCCATCTTTTTTACACCTACCAAAAATTTTGTTAAAAACAAAGATCGAGAAACTGTAGAATTTTACCGAACTCTATGATATTATTGATATGTGCATACATAATATTAGCAAAAAATACATCTTTTTTCAATAATTCAAAATTGTGAACTCACCAAAATTCCTGACTACGAGCCGCAAGTAGCAATTGTCGGTGTTAACCAGGATTGTCGGATGTCGCGAGAAACATTTACATAACGTTGCTCGAGGACGTCCACACAATTGATGATCCACCTATTAACGTCGAGACGATGTCCCAGATCATGTTCGATTTATCACGAGCGATTGCGTCGCGGAAATACGTACAACACACGCGTTTCGCGTAAACGACGGGTGCTTCCCGATTCTTATCGTGCATTGTATCTGGCCGTATTCTCTAATGGTGATCTGGAGACAGCGCTCTGCGGCTTCTATCTCGTGCGGAGATGAGTATCGGCCGGTGAGCGGCGCGTATGCTATTTCTGCTTGACCGTTCCTTTGTGGATCGTGCGTGATTAATAAAAGCAGATGATGCGACGATGGCGCACGTCAAACTCAAGAAAAATATCGACGGCAGCGATTCAAATTGTCGCGCCGCTAAAATATATGTATAAATTCAGACAAAAATTTGACTTCGCGGATTTAAATTCCAATCATGGCCCGACCATGGTGTTTCCTATAGACACGTGTCGTTGAGCCGCGGCAATGACAATTAGCGTGATCGTGAAGATAATTTTATGTCTCGCCACGAGATAACGGTAAATGTCACTGAACACTTCGAGTTGGCAGCGGTTGTAGAATCTTCTATAAATAAATTTCGGGTATTATTCGTTTTGATACTGTTACAATTCTGTTTTTGAGAGATAATCATAATTAAAATACAAAGAAATTGTAAAGCATATATTTATATTTATTTAATATTATACAATTAAAATATGATGTTTTCAGAAAGTATATTTTCTAAATTTTGGACGAATTACGAAATCTTCGACGCCACTATTTTTGCAAATTTCGTGTATATATTAATTAGACGGATACAGGAAATTTATAGGTAAAGCGATAGGCAACAGAAACAAATCGTAAAACGAAAGCATGCCTGCGATCCGAGATTGCATTACACGTGAAGTAACACGGCGAGATTCATGCATGCGAAAAGTTGCCCGAGAAATTTTGAAATCTCGCGGCGGATATGAGAGCAAACTCTTGCACGCGAACGTTCCACGTCCGAGAATCAATATTTGCCGGCACTTCCAATGAAGGAGCCTGTAATTTCGAGAGGAAGTCGTTGGCGCGAAGAGCAAAGTAGTTTCCGTGCCTGCTCGTGACGGGCTATTAGCCCCGCTAAAGAGTGCAGGTATGTTCATTATTCTGACATTAGTCATTATTTCGGCATTACTGCCTTTTGATCAATGAAAGAATGGTACATCAATCAATCCTCGAACCGGCTGGAAAATATAAAAAGGCTATTTACAAAAAAGAAACATTTCTAATGAAAAGAGACTTAAAGTTTTCCCTCTCTCTCGCTATCAATTATTATTTTCATTAATATATTTAAAATCGATAAAAATAAAGTCCATCGTTAAAATTAATGATTCCGATTTTTTTTTTTAATAGCTTTAATTTTATTTTATAATTGCCTTGTTAAATATAAGAAAAAATATTAGAAAAAAACCACGTTTTTTTTCAGGTTGTGTCACAATGCGAGGATTTCAAAAGTCTATGATAAATAAAAACTATGCCTAGGCCACTTATTTTTGCACAAAATCTTGTCGCACTTAACCGTGTAATTTTTTCACCGGATGACTGGGTCAATTTGTCAGTCATTTGACACTGATCTTGAAAATAATAGACGCAGAAAGAAGTTGCTACACGAAATTAAGGCACGTGAAACACGTCAGCTGTCAATCAACAAACTCACACGAAGGTCTCTTCTATTTTATTAAGCAAGCTCGAGAAAGCGTTTCTCGGAAGATATTTTTCTCGGAAAAATATTTCAGTTGTCTCTCATATTTTTAATTTGCTTATTTGATTAAAAGATGCAAGTGAGAGCGTACATGTGAAACAATATAATATCTGTGTGTTATGTGTTTAATGTGTAATATTAAGATTATTGTTATATATAATTAAATTCCCTTTCAGATCATATCTGCGATAAGAAAAAGGATTAGCATAATCACACGTTCAAAGTTCAATGCTATATTTCGATAACATACAGAGTTTACATCAAAGATGAATTATGCAACGTCAACTCGATAGTGCGAACAATTTCATTTTGTCTCATATCGGCATTNNCGGCATTCCGTTTTCATGGAAAATAAAATAAAATAGCAACGTTATAATAATGTCGATCGAGTGGAAAATACGGTAAATACAGTGTGGAGCGACTCTTTAGGTCGCACTCTAGGTACAATACTTATTTGGCAACAATTAACAACAATCGAGATCAAAGATCGTTCACGATAACGATTCTCCTAACTTTGGTGTAACTTTGAAGATAACTTTGACACAATTACCGTTTCGCGAGCGTTGATCCCAAAGTATGCGAGATTTCCGTGGTCTCATAAATGGAATTTCATGACACGCAGATAGATTCGTGACGAAATCACGTTGCTCCCCCCGTCTGATCGTATCATGCGAGATCTCTCGCCACCGGCGAAGCTTCTGGCAGTAAGGATTCTAAGGATCATGCGTAGAGTGTGTTGCTAAAGACATCTGATAGTTATCCAAAAACCAAGAACTGCGGAACTTGGACGACTTCGAATCACAATATCTGCGAAATTATCTCAACGTCTCGTACTCTTGGCTACTTAATTTACGTCAACGATGCCGTCAAGGAGACACACCGTGTCACGATTATCAACCACTGCCAACAACGAACAATGGCATCCCGTAATAGAAAATTTTATTTAATTCGGTCTTTGTGAAACCGACAAAGATTCGCAAACGCTCGAAGTACGAAGTCTTTTTAAATACGCGATAAAAAAACACACTAGGTGGTAAATTGCAATTCGGTGAGACATGATAGATGAGAAGTACGCGCGTCCTTCGTGGACCGAAAGTGGAAGTAAAGTGGCATCGAGAAACGCCCGATTTCGTCATATCAGGACGAGCAGTCGCGTATCTTCAACAACAAAAGTCTTTCTCTTTCACTCTTTCTTCGGGATGCTTTGTCATTCGAATCTCGAAGACTGTCATTTTATTGAACCCACGAGGCTGGTACCCAAAGCGGTT